ATCTAATGGTGAAAAACTGACTGAAAAATAAATCTGTTCTTTTTTTTCTTATAAAAGGCTAAATAAAACAAAAATATTGGTGGTTATTTTTACTGTGTAACTTTACAAACGGCACCCCGTACACCACRGTTTATTTAGTTTGCAGAAAATCCTCAGCAGTAAAAGCCAAAGGAGTCTGGTAGAAGTTGGTTTATTGTAATGGTCTGACAGTCACAAAGGGGTTTTTTAAAGCAGAAACTTGAGAATTCTGTTCTGGCTGTTGATCAGGGATTGATTCCAGTTACCCTTTTTTTCTGTTTTCTTTTTTATAATAAGAAAATGTGTCAAAATATGAAGCGTTCCACATTTGCATTTCTGGTTACTAAACGGTGAAGCTGGAGAGCCTGCGCTCGTTGGAGTACAGGTTTTTGATGATGCTCTGCAGGGCAGTGCTCACTTTGTCTTATTTTTAAACGAGCGTAACGTTTTAGTCAGATTATACCTTTTATGCTTGCGGCCTGTTCGAAACGTATCTTAGCACTTTAAGTTAACATAGCCTATAAAACGTACCTGTCGTCTGTCTGTATGCACCGATCAGCCACTCGCCTACAGGCTGTTTGTGGAGGAGGATAGTTGAGGAAGTTCTGCAGGATGAGGATCTGGGTCTWAGCGGTGCAGGAATGAGCAGCTGAGGATTAACCATCAATACGAGGAGCCTGAAACAAAAGAAGCTGCACAAAAGAAATAATTCTTTTAAGGGCGATGCAGGCTGTTAGAAAGATGCTGGAACATCCCAGCTTGGACTGTTTAGTCATAGATTGACCAGAAGTCTGATCCTGAATACGGTCCAGCGCCGTTTACTCAAAACTGAGTCACGGAGCAACAATGAAGGTGGTTTTATCCGATGAATCCGGGTTTTTATTTTGCACCAGAAAGACCAGGTTTGAAGGACGAGAAGACCCTTTCYATCACACACCAACCACCTAAGCATTGTTGCAGACTGTAGAGCAACATCAGTGGCCTCTTAAAGCGGGGTAACGTTTCCTGGCATCACTACCTGCTGAACAATTAACGCCCATCTATAGAACCCCCCGAGCTAAAACTTCCAGGACCTCTGCACARACGGACAATAATAAACGGATAGGGCAGATCTTCCAAAGTGACAAGTTATGAACAATTAATATTTTAACATATTGAAGATAGCTTTTCAGTTGGCCTCTGTTTGAAAAAATAGATTCATTTCGGGTCTGTCAGGTTTTTWGAGAAGTTAGACATTTTTTTATTGTTTCAGGATCCTAACCACACATTTTACACCCGCTTCGGATGTTATCATCCATGAAATGGACGTTATTAGGCGTTATCAGTCCCATAGAATGGCTTCAGAATGTCAGCTGGTTAATATGAGGCTTAAAGCCACCAAGGTTAACCTTAGAGCAGAAGACATGGTTAGCACTAACCTCCGACAAATATATATTGTGGCCTCTCAATAGGGCAATGGGCAGAGTGTTGGACCAGAGAGTGGGAGACCAGGGTTTGAGTCCATCATGGACACAAAAAATTTATTTCAAATGTTTTGGTTATTTACACATTCATTGTCATTAATATATTAACCCACTAGGGGGCACTGTCGGGACAGTCTGAAGCCCAGAAGGCACAGTAGGGACCCTCTGAAGCCATTGTATGAGACTGATAACGCCTAATAACGTCCATTTCATGGACTGATAACATCAGAATCCCCTGCATTTTAGGAGCTGTAAATTTATGTTTAGTTGAAAAAAAAAGATTTCAGATTGCAAAGTTTTTACTCCTAAAGCTGCAGGTTCAAGTAAGGAAGGGCTTATGTAATGCCTGCGGCTGTTCAAAGCGTTATCTACAACAGGTAAGATATTAACTGTTCATAACTTACACAACCCCACTTCAAAAGATCCAAACTATCCCTTTAGTTTTAACCCAGTGGCTGAATGGTGTGTATATATCCTTTGTATATAATTCACTATTTATATTGTCTATGTAGAAGACAAAAAACTATATACGGAAAATATATTTTTGCAATTTTTACCTGTTTCTGCACCACGTGTGTCGTGTCGGTGACACGGTTCTCCCGGCTGTTCGCACACGGCTCAACAGAGGAGTCAAAATCCTAATTCCCACCAGACGATAAAACCCACTTTCTGTACAAATTAACCACCTGGGATCCTCCTTCATCTTCCTCCGGTTCTGACCTTCATCACAGTTTGATGTCACAGCTGCCCAGACAACACAACAAAAAATTACTAATAACAATAAAAAGTACAAAAAATGAGCGGCGAAGATCGAGGCGGTTCGAGGAACGAGCAGCGAGTGATAACACCAGGAAAAAAAACAAAACAACAAATCAGCTCCAATCAGAGAAGTCCTTTCAGGGTCTGAGCCGAGAAGAAAACTCTTGTTTTGATACGTGGATTTTTTTATTTTATTACAAAAACAGTCTTGATACAGATTTCTGCTTGTTGAACTTTTGAAACAGAAAAACGAAACAAAGTTACTCTGATGTCAGCTAATCTGAGGTTTTCAGTTACGAGTTAATGCCGGGGGACCCCCTCACTCACACACACACACACACACACACACACACACACACACACAC